CCATTCCATATGCACTACATACATATACTTCTGTTTATCCTACATGTCCACAACCAAATCCTGGACCCCCTACTACTCCAGTAACTTCCCCATCCATAGCCTTTCCCATCTCAATTAACGGCCACTCTATCCTTCAGGCAGTTATTTTTGACTCGTCTCTTTCTCTCACATTCCACAGCCATTCCATTAGCAAATTCTATTAACTAGGCCTTCAAACATATATCCAGAATCTAACCAACTTCTCATCACCTCCACTGTTACCAACCTGGCTAAGCTTTCACCAGCTCTCAACTGTTTTACCGCAGTAGCCTCCAAACAACTCTCCCTGTTTCTCTTTTTGCTGCAGCCTCCACTACAGTCTATTTTCAAATTTCTGTGTGCTCCTTTTCAATATCAGGAAGTCACATTAAAACTCTGCAATGGCTTTGTTTCACTCAGTTAAAAAAAAAATCCTTTCTTTAGGTCGTTGTCACCTCTCTGACCTTCCCTTTTGCTGCGTTCCATTGTGCTCACTCTCACCTCACTCAGGTCTCCTGTATTTTCTCAATGTTCTTACTAAAAATGTTTTGTTTTTATTAATCAAAACCTTTTAAGTGATAAAACTATGAGAGTAATCTCCCTTTTCACTCAAATGCGTTCTAAGTACACAATTAAATAACAGGGTCAAGTCTTTAGAAGAAAAAACTAAGTTCATGGTAAGAATGTGTAAGGCCCTGAATACCTATGTTTCTGATGAAAACTTTAATGAAGACAGGCTTCTCAAACAAATTAAACTGTATGGTGTAGTAGAAGGATTTCTGAGTTTGGGATTGAAATATCTTGCTTAAATCTTCTCAGTACTGCTTACTAGTTTTGAGACCTCGACTAAGTCACTATTCTCTCTGATTCATCGCTTTCTTATGTGTAAAGATGGATAGAGTAATCTGTAAAACTCATCACAAACTTGGTGCTTTACAAGAGAAGAACTTATCTACCCATACCTGTCAAAAACACATCTAATAAGACTGACTTATTCCCAGGAATGCTATTGAAAGTTCTACATTAATCTGCATACGCAAATGGACACTAGAAAAGCAACCGAGATCACAAATGTTTAGAGGCTGACCGCAGAACTGTATAAAATTTCCGAAAGCCAGCTAAGTAACCCCAACACTGAGAGGAATGGAGAGGCTCACGCTCTAGGAACTGCGAGGGCAAAGGAGCCATAAAGCTATGGTTCCTGAAGAGGATACAGATTTTAAAAGTTCAGACTGTGTGTCTGGACCTGGGTTTGGGGCAGATGGCTCCAGACGACGACCCTGGAGGAGGAATTAACTGTCAAGAAGTTCTTGGGGCTCTCCTGGCTGAAACAAACCAAGCGTTAGAAAGAACGAATCGCCTTTGAGAAAGACAGCTGGAAGCTAGGCTGCAGTTTCAACTTCTCCATAAGCCGGTCAGTTCTCGCAATTTCGTCGCCCCATCTGAACCACTCACCGGGTCAGCGGGGCTGCAACGCCTCAGGAGTTGGGACCGAGCGGCCCACCCCCGGCACAGTCTGACAAATCGCTACGTGGCCATGTATCTGCTCTGGAGACCGTTGCTAGGGAAACGGGTCTGGGCTCCCAGCTCACCCCATCGTGGTTTCCCCTGGACCGGCCAGGGCGCTTCGGGGCGTGGTTACGTGAGTGACGCACGTAGGGGGCGGGACAGAGGCGAAACCGGACCCAGGGACGGGTTACGTCCCGGGGCGCATGCGTGCAGCGCTGGACGGCGGGGTACCTGGGAGTCTTCCGCGGTTCCGGAGAGTGGGCTATGGCAGCCACAAGTACCCCTCCAAGCGTCTGTCTGAGAGAAGCCACCCAGCGAAGGTTGCAGAGGTTTTCAGAGCTGAGAGGTACCTAGGAGGAACCTTAGCTCTCCCGTGCAGTGGACAGGGAGGGTGCTTTACGGGCTGGGATATTTGCTGGACTACCACTTCCTTTTGCTAGTCAACTGCGGGCCTAGGACTCGGATCCAGGCATAGCTGATATTCCTCTTGAGTTTTTTATTCTTTTGTCACTGTCTTTTCTTTACGTTATGCTTGTTGCTTTAACTTTATTCCTAAGTACGTATGTGTCTGTCTGTATATATTAGAGAGAGAGATGTGTATCTACATATCTATATACACACATATAAAACACGAGAAGAGGAAGGAGAAGGAAAAAAATTATTAGTGAAGCTATAAATACAGGTTATTCATTTTGGTTACATCATTAACAAAAGCTATTTTAAATAAACCCAAAATTTCTAAAGCATGCTGTTTTGACCCATGCAAATTCGATTTTAGCCTTCTTCCACCACCTACCTACTTCACCAATTTTGTTTCCTAATGTGAACACTTACTAAGTGAAAAAAGAAACCCAATCCTCGCCTAATCTGAGTAGTTATGGATTAAAAGTTAAAAACGGTAAAATTGTTTCAGAATTTTCTTTTAAAGACTATGCCACTTGTCACTTCCTGTACAATTATCTAATTGGGTATTGTGTGTGTGTGTGTGTGTGTGTGTGTGTGCTCCTTTACTGCTTTAAAAATACAGGAAATGATTCTTGGATAACAGTAAAATATTCAAGACTATTAGATTCTAGCTGACAAGTCCTGTTTGTTAACTAAAACCCTTATTCATTTCATTTACCAGTAAAGAAGCACTTCCAACTATCAACCAAAAGTTCAATCTGTCTTTTAATGAGTTCATCAGGGAGTTGGGAACTTTTCCATTGTCCAGAATTTAGTGTCACTCTCCAATAACCTTTGTAAACTTGCATAGCTCATCTTAAGGTAATGAAAATCCGCATTTATAAACAGCAACATTATAGGAATGGATTCTTGGATTTAATCTTTCTTAGCTAACAAACACTAAGTGGTCCTTATTTGTGAAAACTGATTTTCAAAGCTGGAGTTTCATTTATTCCCTTGTCTCCTCTCTCTATTTAGGAATTGAGGTAATCTTTAGCAAGTCAAAAGTACTTTTCCTAATCAAGAAACAACTTCCAGAAAAAATCTAAATAAATAAGACTGTAGACCGTAAAAGGAGCAAGTAATATAAAAGAGAGAAAAAAAAGGGTAGAATCTGTGAACAATCCTTATTAGAACTATTTTGAATCCTACTAGCTGGCCACTCATTATTCCCCAATTCTCCAAAGCAGAAGATGCATTTATGGATATAGTATTATTTCTTTTTTCCTTCTTTCAAATAGGTAAACCTGTAACACCTAGAGAATTCTGATGATATTTATCATTTCCTTGCTTTTCCACACAGGCAAACCTGTGGCAGCTGGAGAATTCTGGGATATTGTTGCAATAACAGCAGCTGATGAAAAACAGGAACTTGCGTATAAGCAACAACTGTCAGATAAGCTGAAAAAAAAGGAGTTACCCCTTGGTGTTCAATATCATGTTTTTGTTGATCCTACTGGAGCCAAAATTGGTACGCTTTTATGGTCAGATTTATAATCATAGGTTGTGGGCAGAATAATCATTGAAAAAAAGCATTCCTGTGGCTTAGTTTATAAATTATGTTTCTTTCTACCCATAGTCTTTACAGACTTGACAATTTTAATGTAAATTCACTATTTTTTTAAGAAAGATAAAATGCATTGCAGCTCATTTTACACACTGGACTTAACATGAAAAACTTCCAGAATGTTATGTTACTTAAAAGAGAATTTTATTAGCCCTAATAAAATTTACTAGATAGTTAATATTCCTTTGTACCTTAACAGTAGGACTCTTAAGTTTCTCCCAACTCCACAGTTTTTCAGAAATCAGAAAAAATAGATACTTGGCCTCTTGGAGCCACAGTGCAGAATGTGAAAGAGCACGGTCTAATGGCATAAGTGTCATAGATGTTTACTTTTAAAAACTATTTGTCAACTTTGCCTTTTGAGTTTCCATAACAAATAAAAATACATGCTATTTTTCTGGGAGCCATTTTCCATGTGATACTTAACACTGAAGCCCCTTAATGCACTGTGGTGCAGCCATTGTGGAAAACAGTATGGAGATTCCTCAGAAGACTAAAAATAGACCTACCATATGATCCAGCAATCTCACTCCTGAGCATATATCCAGAGGGAACCTTAATTCAAAAAGACACCTGCACCCCAGTGTTCATAGCAGCACTATTTACAATAGCCAAGACATGGAAACAACCTAAATGTCCACTGACAGGTGACTGTATAAAGAAGTTGTATATTTGTACAATGGAATACTATTCAGCCATAAAAATAATAAAATAATGCCATTTGCAGCAACATGGATGACCATGGAGAATGTCATTCTAAGTGAAATAAGCCAGAAAGAGAAAGAAAAATACCATATGATATAACTCATATGTGGAATCTTAAAAAAAGACAAATGAACTTATTTGTAAAACAGAAACAGACTCACAGACAGAAAACAAACTTCTGGTTACCAGGGGGAAAGGGATGGGAATGGATAAATTGGGAGTTTGAGATTCGCAGATACTGACTGGTATATGTAAATAGATAAACACATTTATACTGTATAGCACAGGGAACTACATTTGATATCTTGTAGTAGCTTACAGTGAAAAAGAATATGAAAATGAATATATGTACATTCATGTATGACTGAAGAATTGTGCTGTACACCAGAAATTGACACACCATTGTAAACGGACTATACTTCAATTAAAAAAAAACCAAAAAACTGAAGCCCCTTGATACCAGAGTTAGGGTATCTATATCTGACATTGGCACTGTCCTAATTAGCCAGTATTTTAATCCTCACTGCTACGTACAGTACTTTTATGATTTGCATTGTGTAAGGTGAGAATCTGAGGCACAAAATGTTAAATAACTTGCCCAAGGAAACTAGTAAATTGAAGTTACACTTAAGATATATTTTGGGAAAACAGGTCCTAAAAAGTTTTTACATTTAAAATGAAAATTTTTAAATTTAAAGACTAAAACATTTAAATTTAAATTTAAAATTTAATAGTTTTTCTAAAAGTTTCTTAAAGTAAATCTAAAGCACATATTTGATTATATGGGAGAATTAGTTTTATGGGTTTTGCAATTCATAACTCCAAGTGAAAGTGTGAACTCCAAGTATTACAGATTGCCTTATTTGTCATTTCTTTTTTTTTAATTACTGTTTTCGGGAGATTAGCTCATCATTTATTACCGAGGACTGATTTCTAAGTTTCATTATTAATTATTCATTTATATATTTAATTGCTATGCAGTGTATATTTAACTTGATTCTTTTGGCTGTACATTTGCTCTCAGCTAAAAGCCATATCCTCAAAGTTATTAAATTTACCATGATAACAAAGTTTTTGTAGCTTTCTGTGAAATAAACTGTGCTTTTTAACTTCATTTTTAAGGAAATGGAGGATCAACACTTTGTGCCCTTCGACATTTGGAAAAGCTATATGGAGATGAATGGAATTCTTTTACCATCCTCTTAATTCACTCTGGTAATGTTATACTTTACTAACTTACATTTTCTTTTAATATTTTACCTTTGATATTTAGGGATTTTTTTCTCCTTTGCAAAAAAACTTTCCCCTCTTTTTTTTTTTTGTCTTTGAAGTTTTATTCTGCTTTGAAAACAAACATTTTATGCTTTTCTTGGTATTTTTAGGTTGTGAGTAGCAAAATATTTTTCACAAAATTTAACCTTAATATTGTAGATCACATATATCATAAGTTTTCATGTATATTTTTGGTGTATATGTAGAAAATCATTTTCCTAAGAAAGAACTAATCAAAATATAAACATTTCTTGTTAATGCTTTAGAAAGGACTCTTCCTGTAGGAGAGAGGCTGGTTTAGTACTGTGATTACCAGACCTTAGCCAAAAACTTTCTGTTATGCATTTTTATCTAGTTATTAGTGGCCAAAGTCTTTAGTCCTTTAAAGAGTTTAAAAACAAAAAGAAAAGTTTGTGACAAAACACGGAGCTGACAACAAAGTGTGTAAGAGGGATAATTGCACATAGAAAAGGACCTTTTAAAGCAGAGAAGTAGGAAAGAAATAATCTCAGAATGAAGGATAGTTTTTTAAATTGGATAAATTTGGTTGTATGAAAATTTTCGTTATATGAAAAAAAATCTTCTATGTTTCTCTGTATCCTGGGGGCTGATGAAACTTTGTCATAGGCTGACGTCAACTCAGAGACAGACATTGTAAAACCACTCATCCACGTGGTTTCCAGGGGACTCTTCATTTCTCATGATTCATATACAGAACAATGATTCTTTGTAAAGATGATACCTAGTAAAGCATCCAAGTTTTGGTTTTAAGTTTCACCAAAAAGTAAAAAAGAGTCAAATTTATAGTTTTATTCCAAAACAAGTATTATATTATTACCAATTTAGTAAAATTCATTAGACTCCAGACATTTGATCCTTGACTAACATAGGGGTTAGAGGAGCCAACCCTCGCACAGTCGAACATCTGCATATAGCTTTATGGTTGGTCCTCTGTGCGGGCAGTCCTGCCCTCCGTATCCACAGTTCCACATCGGGGATTCAGGTAACCTTGGGTCGTGTAGTGCTGTTGTATTTATTGAAAAGAATCCACGTATAAGTGAACTGGCACAGTTCAAACCTTGTTCAGGGGTCAAATATAATTAGAAATAGATAATTCTTATAATGCTAACCTTTACTATTGGCTAATCTTCAGAAAATGAAAAGGTAGAAAGTTTTAGTTCTCGTTGATCGAGCAATGTACTCTGTGCCAAGTGCTTTACATGTATTGGTGATCTCATAAAGCATGGTGAAATGAGTATTATTCTATTTGCTGATTTGGAATAAATCGAAAGGTAAGCAACCAAGAAGTGGTGAACCAGAGTTTTAACTCATTTTTCTGTGATTCTGTTATGCCTCTCACTATAATTAATTACATAAAAATCATAAAAATGATGTAAACTATTTAATATACTTAGGAGAATACACTTTTCAAGGAATTAAGAAGTCTTAAGGCTCATTTTAGAGGAAAAGGCCTGTTTAAAACAAGTATACATTTTTAAGTGCTTTTAAATAAATGCACCTTTACTTTCTTCAAGTGTATGTAATAATTTGAGGGAAAACACTGCATCTGGATATTACCGTTTAATAGATAATTATACTTTGGAATTGGTGTATTAGTTTTTTGGTGACTTTTTTTCCCCCTAGAATATGCATTTTTACATAGGAGTTTAAACGTGGATGAGATTTATTGTTTAAAATGTAGATATCAGGTCATGTTTTAGCTCATTGTCCTTTTTATTAGTTACATAGTTGATTCAAAACAATTCACAGGCTGTAAAGTATACTAGAATTCTTCCCTAATCTAGAACTGCATTACATCAAATCACTACAGGAGAATCACTCTTTGAATTTGTAATCTGGACTTTATTACTCTTTCCTGGGATACAATAATGCATTGTATATTTTAAATATCTTTAGAGAGATTTTAAGTTGTAACCGATACCCTGGGTTTTAAAATCTTATACACAATCTTATAAACATTTTAAAACAGTTATTTCATCTAATTTTATGTAGGTGGCTACAGTCAACGCCTTCCAAATGCAAGTGCCCTGGGGAAAATTTTTACTGCTTTACCTCTTGGTAGCCCCATTTATCAGATGCTGGAATTAAAACTAGCCATGTACATTGATTTCCCCTCCCATATGAATCCTGGGATTCTGGTTACCTGTGCGGATGACATTGAACTTTATAGTACTGGAGAATCTGAGTTTATTAGGTTTGACAAACCTGGCTTTACTGCTTTAGCTCATCCTTCTAGTTTGACTGTTGGTACCACACATGGAGTGTTTGTCCTAGAACCTTTCGATTATTTAGGATATAGAGACCTAGAATACAGATGTTGCCATCGTTTCCTTCATAAGCCCAGCATAGAAAAGATGTATGAATTTGGTGCTGTATGTAGACCTGGAAGTTTTTTGCAACAAGACCTTGCTGGGGGTGACACTCCCTCGCTTAAGTTGGACCCTGGGTATGTCTACACAGACAGCCTATTTTACATGGATCATAAATCAGCGAGAAAGTTGCTTACTTTTTATGAAAAAATAGGTACACTGAACTGTGAAATAGATGCCTATGGAGATTTTCTGCAGGCTTTGGGACCTGGAGCAACTGTGGAATATACCAGAAACACATCAAATGTCACTAAAGAAGAGTCAGAGTTGGTAGACATGAGGCAGAGAATATTTCATCTTCTTAAAGGAACAGCGCTAAATGTTGTTGTTCTTAATAACTCCAAATTTTATCATATCGGAACAACTGAAGAATATTTGTTTCATTTTACTTCAGATGGCAGTTTGAAGTCAGAGCTTGGCTTACAGTCCATAGCCTTTAGCATCTTTCCAGCAATACCAGAATGCTCTAATAACAAATCCTGTATCATTCAAAGTATACTGGATTCAAGATGTTCTGTGGCATCTGGCTCAGTTGTGGAGTACTCCAGGTTGGGGCCTGATGTTTCAGTTGGGGAAAATTGCATTATTAGTGGTTCTTATATCATAACAACAGCTGCCCTGCCTGCATATTCTTTTGTGTGTTCCTTAAGCTTGAAGATGAATGGACACTTAAAGTATTCAACTATGGCATATGGAGTGCAAGACAACTTGAAAAAGAACGTTAAAACCTTGTCAGATATAAAGTTACTTCAATTCTTTGGAGTCTGTTTCCTGTCATGTTTAGACACCTGGAATCTGAAAGTTACAGAGGAACTGTTCTCTGGAAACAAGACATGTTTGAGTTTGTGGAACGCTCGTATTTTCCCAGTCTGTTCGTCTTTGAGTGATTCAGTTACAACATCCCTAAAGATGTTAAATGCTGTACAGAACAAGTTAACATTCAGCCTGAGTAGCTATAAGCTGATGTCCATTGAAGAAATGCTTGCCTACAAAGATGTGGAAGACATGATCACTTACAGGGAGAAAATTTTTCTAGAAATTACCTTGAATAAGAAACAGTCTGATTTGGACATATCTTAAATATTGTATATTTTGCCTTTCTTGATTCAGCAAGATTACAGATACAGGAGATTTCTGTGGACTTTTTGTTAGTTGAAATGAATTAATGAAAATTATATTAACATGATTGCTGTAACATAACTTAATAACAGAAAAATACAAATAAACCATTTTTGATGAAATAATATTTTAAGGCTGTAAATTCAAAAAAAGTAATTTTTTTGATGTTTATCACTAAGTTTTGTTTTAATAAAGACAGATTTGTGGAGCATTATTTTGTTTACAAAATACTATAGTAGTTGTAAAGGTAATTTTCTAAATATATCTTTAGAATTTTTTCATTTTTGTGGGGGGCTTTGGTTCCAGTAAAGTTCTAAGTGTTCGTTGGCAGTTCTTTCCTCAAACGCAGTGGTCCTATTCTGATGAACTAATAAAAATGTCATAGTAAGGGGTCTTTAGAGCACTGTAGGAATACTGTAGAAGTACCTTTTCAGAATAAATCCATGGCTGACAAAGATTAAATTCAATACTTAAAATATTGTGATAATCTTAATTGATAAATAACTACAAACAGTTCTGAAATTGATGATAAAAATCTGTCTCATGTATTGATCTTATCAGGATAAACAAAAAGGATATAGTGTTATTTTATCCTCATAAACTTGAACACATGTTTGTGTATCTTAAAATGTTTCCCTGAAGTTCCATCCATAGGAAAGCATATACACACATAAAACTCAAGTATCTGCATGGGGAAGATGTTGGAATAATTGAAATTCACTGATAATCACATAAGTTCATTTTGGACATTATATTTATCCTCCCTTATTAATCCCTTTAACAGAAGCTTTAAAATTACCAGATAGACTGATTTTACATTTTGTCTTTTATTTTCTGTCTACACACTGGTGATGAAGCTGAGAAGCAATAAATGGCCAGAAGGTAGACAGCAGGAAGGAGCCAGAAAAATAGAATGACTGAGAAAATATACAGATGACAAACAGCTTCAGGAAAATAAAAGTTGGCTAGAATCCCGTTTTGTGTTCCTATTTTGATATAGACACGTACGTGAAATGTCTTCATGTTGAAGTCTAGTACTAATTTAAGAAAAGATTTGTCAGAGTTTTTTGTTTTAACATGAATAAATTGAAATAGGAACTGGTCTGTACCACTTTCATTTATATGTCAATATGAAATTAACATGTCAATATGAAAATAATTGGCAAACTAGAAGTGATTTGTCTGCAACCCTTAATTATGATTTTATGTGTTTGTCTCCCCCCAAGTTTCTTCCTAAGGAGAAAATAAAGATATGTGATAGCCATTGTTTAGCACTTACTGACTTACTCACAGAGATTTCAGTACATGTTTTGTGTTCATCATTCATTAAAAGTTCAATACTGTATTTCTAATTTAATTTTCTGAGGTGCCATCAATTATTATGAATCCACCATTATTTTCTGTTCCACAAAAAAAGAGAAAACACTACGAATAAAATAAGATGCAATACTTTCTTTGTTACTTGAAGTTTTTATGTTTATTTATTGGAAGTCTCTTTTAAAAGCACTTAAATATAGATTGTTGTCATTTAACCC